TTTGTATTTACATTCTATTTCTATTAATCTTATAAAAATAACTATTATAAATTATATTTTTAATTGATTTGTGATCTTTAATTTCATGTAATGTTATTTAAAAACAATTAATTTCTAGTAAATATTATTTAAAAAAATTAATTAGTGTTTTTTTAATTATATAACACATAAAATACAAAATAATATATTTATATATTATGTAAGATAATATATAAAACTAATTATATTCTTAAATATTATTTTACATTTTGATAGCATCTGCTGCCAAAAGTTTACCAAACACCAATTTTCATCTGTTAATCACCATTAGCCACCGGATATCAAAAACTAAACTATAGAAATAAGACATTTGAAAAATATTTTTAGGAAAAAAATTTTAGAAAATATATTTGAAAAATAAGTTATTTGTTGAAAACAAACCAACATAAGCTAATAAGTTCAACTTCATATATTTGGATTCAAATATTTTATATGCAAGAGATTGGACAACCTATGAGTATTTTGATTCATTTCTATTCCAATTTATAATTTAGGAGGTATATCAAAGCTCAATATATATTCTTTGCTAGGAGCATTTCTCCTTTATGGTTTTGACGCACCGCAAACATGACTAAACTTAATCCAATAGGTTAGAGATATTTATAGTATAAATTGAAGAAAAAGCTCAATATTCAATCTTAACGTTGTATTCGGCAGCAACATTTTAAATAGTCAAAATGCAGAACGTTATTTTTTATAATTTTCGATTACATAGCATTTGATTGCACCATACTAACAATGTAATCAATGTATTATTTATTCATTTTCATTTAACAATAATTTGTGTCATATCTTAATTCCATATATTATATTAAATAAAAAAACAACAAAAAAAATCTCATAATCAAACCTCAAAAGTAAAAGCTAGCAGCAAATCTCCATGGGCAAATTGATCTCACTCATAAATTATCATTTAAATTAAAGGATGCAATTTTTTAAAACTAAAGCATGCGATCTCGTTAGACAAGATCCCACAGTGAAGGATCTCATTTGTCAATCCAATCATTCCAAGCTTGCATAAATAAAATTTATTTCAATATCAAGAAAAAAAAAAAAAAAGGAAAACCAGATGTTAATTAAAAAGGCGCTACAAAAATGTCAGAAGAAACGTGGAAAAGTTTCCATCATCCACTTAGGTAGCAAAGCGGAAAGAAACTCTTGCCAAAAATCAAAAAAAAAAAAATCAAAAGCACAAAGCAATCGACACTTGGCAACAGTACTTTAGGCAATAGTGTAGAGGAGAATCCAATTTACTGTGTGATACAGTAAAAGTAAGTATATGCTTTGAGAAAACGATAAAAAAATCACTCAAAGACCATTTCAGATTTTTCATCGAGAATCCAAAGCTTAATGATGTTGAGAGAGAATACTATTTATTTCTCTGTTAAACTAGTAAGTCATTCCGTCCCGCAAGGTTTCACCCCCCGAGGGTGGAAAGTGGGTATTTTTTTTTTATTATTATTTATGAGATTTGATAGGCCGAAATTACAAATTATATAATATAGATAGTCCTCTTTTAGATTTAATAAATTAGTAAAAATATTTGTAGTCAATAAAAAATTTAAATCTAAAACTTTTCACTACTCACATAATTGAGAAAACCAACCAAATTAACAGGAAGAACATACTTTAATTGTGAAAAAAAATGCAATTTGATTTTAAAAGTCAATAAAAATAGTAAATAGGATGAACTAAATAGTGATATTATATTACTTCTGACAGAAAATATAATTAAATATTTATTAATATTTTTATGTTTTTTATCAATATTTAGTTATTAAGATTTTTTTTTTCATGAAAGACTAAATAGTGTAACAGTTGAATGATACAAGAATGATTCAATGTATTAAAAAAAAAAAAAAGAATTAAACTTAACGAAGTAATAATATTTTTACTTGTCAATCAGGTGGTGGTTTGATTGGCTTTTTCACTTATGTGAAGGATAAGAGATCTCAAAATCGAGTCCTCTCGAATACAGTTGTTTTCACCAATTTGATGAGTCTAGCGATTTCGGCCATGAAAGCCTCCAGTGAATTAAAAAAAAAATTTTTTTCCTTAATGCTTATATAAACCCTTGGCAATCTAGATAATATTGGCAGTTAGATAGAATATTTATTTTTATTTTTTTGATACGATAAGAGAGAAAAGAAAATAAAACTAATTACTAAACTATTTTTGAATGAACTTTTCCAATTCCATCTTGTAACAGAAGCATATTGCAGCTCACCGTTTGATCATCTAACTAGATAGAATAATGCATTAATTTTATTTTTATTTTTTTGGTTACATGCATTTAAATTGTAGATCCAATAAAATATATACATCTCCCAATTCTTCAAAATTAGACAATTAATAATGTGCACACTCCTAAGTGGAATTCATTATTATGGGAAGTGATTATTATGCTTGTAGTGAACAAAAACATAACTTAAGAATATTTAGGCAAAGGCATCGAATATATATTTATTTATGAATTTAAAGATTTGCTAAAAAGTTAGATATTTATATTAAAAAAACAAAAATGTTAGGTATATTGTTCTTTGCTTTCTCTTGTCCTTTTGAAAATATTTTGGTCTCATTCAAATCAAATAATTCTATTTTCCTAGAATATTTTTCTTTTACCTAACAAAGTAATTAGAAAGGGTAATTAATATTCTAATTGTTACATCTTCTAATTAATATTCTTGTGGATTGGATTAGGATAATTAGGGGCAGCTTAAAAAAGATGGTAAGGTAATCTAGATTAGGAAGGTGTGAGGAGCGAGGTCATTGGATTTTGATGGGTAATTAATATAATAATAAGGGCACTAATTAATTAATTAATTAAGGAAAAATAATTAAAAAGAGCATTATATTTAGACCTTTGAATTATAATAAATGACGATAATAATGAAACCACTTTGAAAGTTAAGCCTTTTTTGGAAACACGACACAATCTCAGCCACTATCCTGAAGATTGCATAAGAATTCGACACCTAAAAAGGGCACGAGGAACCCACTTTTCCTTTTCTTTTTTTTTTTTTTTAAATAAGGGCACTAATTAATTAATTAATTAAGGAGAAATAATTATGAAAAAGAGGCATTATATTTAGACCTGAATTATACATAAATGACGATAATAATGGAAACCACTTGTAAAAGTTAAGCCTTTTTTGAAACACGACACCAATTCTTTTCAGGCCACTATTCCTGAAGAATTGCATAAGAATGTCGGACACCTAAAAGGGCACGAGGAACCCACTTTTCCTTTTCTTTTTTTTTTTTTTTTTTTTTTTTTTTTCTCTCTCTCTCTCTCTCTCTTATAAGTTGCCCCCACCAGCAGAGACACCCATAATCTTCCAACCTACAGGATACAGCCGTGAAAAAAATTAAAAAAAAAAAAAATTCAGCTCATTTCTTAAATTATAATTTGGTATTAACTTTCTCATTTATAAATTTTCTCATTAATAATTTATCTAGCATTGAATAAAAATTTAATTTAGTATATATATCATTTTATTAATACATTAAAAGACTAATTTGAAAAAATAATTTTTTAAAAAATTTATTTCTACAATTATAAAATAATGTCTGTATTCATAATTTGAGATATTCTCATATCACCTTATATTTATTAACTATTTAGAAAATATTTTCTTCAGATAAATTTAACTAAATAATATATATATTTCAATATATATAATTAAAAATTAGTTAGCAAAATTACTAAATTAAAAAAGAGATGGTTCATTTTTATCTTCATCTAACATTTAGAGGATGATGATCATAAGCTTTTATTTTATAAGAAATATTTATCTATATTATTAAATTAATTTACTAAAGATATTTGGCATAAATAATGTTTTTTTAATAAACAAAAAGATTTTAGTTCTTTTAAATAGGAATTAATTATTGATTTGATATATAAGTGAATTTTATTTTTTTAAAATTTTATTATTACATATAATACTGTGGTTATTATGTATATCAAGTGAAACTATATATATATACTGGCATATAATTAATTTGCGTATGTGATATATTCTTTGTACTATAATTATTATATTATATACCAAAGCATGATATTATTTGGTACATGTCTTGGTTGTCAAAATCTTGCTCCTTTCGAAAGCCACTTTGGATGAGCTATGCGAAAAATCATTGGCATAGAGGTCCACTATGACTATGAGCCTTCAAAGGGATCTGTTTACCTTTCTAGTCTAATTTAAAAAAAAAAAAAAAAAAATAAAAGGATCTGTTTACCTTTCTAGTCTTAATTTAAAAAAAAAAAAAGAAAAAATCTAAAATCATGTCACATCCTCTGGCTATAGTATTCTTGACCATTTAAAAAAAAAAAAAAAAAAATCTAATTCATGTCATCCTCTGGCTATAGTATTCTTGACCATTCATACCAACCTTAATAGAACTATTTAATCAGTGGAAATTTGTGATCATGACAATGGATGGTCACAGTGTTTTAATCTGTTTAAATACTACATATTAGCTTTTATAGTATTCAATCACGTAATATTTAAACTAATTTTTGAAAATTAAGATAATATTTTATAAAAAATTAATTTTTATAATATTTAACTTTTTAACGTTATACGGAAAAATTAATCAAATAGTTAATCACTGTTAGTACGGCGAACAGACGCAGAAACACCACTGTAGATTGAATGGATGGTTACCAAAGAGTCTAAACTGTTCAATCTCCACGTGGCAGACACAAGCTCAGAACAAATATTTTACTTACACGTATACAAAACTACAAAACTATAATGGAAAAGGATATAATAATTCATCGATCAATACAATACATCCCCTAATAGACAAAAATATAGCTCTATTGCTATAGTAAATATACTATACTATTACTGTTTATTACTACTCTACCTTGCCTTTGTAGTAGTGGTAGTTGCTCGGGCTGTATCATGGATCACACCCAAGTCCACTTCTCGTGCTTTCCTTGCTTTATAAATCATCACATGTTCTGTTCTTGCATGTGACCTCTTCTTCTCCTCTTCAATTCTCTCTTTGCCTCTTCTTCTTCCATTTCTCTCTACATTTCTCCATTCTTTAATCTTTATCAGCTTTCTTTTATACTTTTTAATCGTTTCTCCTTTTTCTCCAATGATGCCCCCGGAGCAAGAAACTCCCATCCCTGTTACCCCTCCAGCTAACAGTGGCATCACGCTTAACAACTGGACTGAAACGGTTTCTTCTGTTCATGCCGAGCCGCCTGTCTCATCCATTAATGCCAACTCATGTTCACAATATCGAGTTCCAGATCATCAACAACAAGAACTAAACACATCAAGATTTTTGATTTTACGTGAATCTTCACATCCTGTAACTCTCAAGGTAAGGAGAAACTGTAACTATGGTAATTAATTGATCTTGCCTAATCAGCTTTCTTATTTATATTTTCTTTGCATGATTAATGCAGTTTGAAGATGTTTCCTACAGTATCAATTTATCAGCAAAAAGAAGTTGTTATCTAAATGAACCAAAATCGACTACAAAAACTGTACTTAATTGTGTTAGTGGCATAGTTCGTCCTGGTGAGCTGCTAGCAATGCTAGGCCCTTCGGGGAGTGGAAAAACTACCCTTTTAACAGCTCTCGCCGGCAGATTGCCTGGAAAAGTCTCCGGTACCATATCTTACAACGGCATGCCTTTCTCTAGCTCCATGAAGCGCAAAACTGGCTTTGTTTCTCAAGACGATGTGTTATATCCCCATCTTACAGTGATAGAGACACTGACATATACTGCTTTATTAAGGCTACCGAAAAAGCTGTCAAAAGAAGAGAAAATAGAACAAGCTGAGTTGGTTATTGCAGAGCTTGGATTAACCAGGTGTAGAAATAGTGTAATTGGTGGGCCTTTACTTCGCGGTGTATCGGGTGGGGAACGAAAACGGGTCAGTATCGGGCAAGAAATGTTGGTTAACCCGAGTTTGCTGTTGCTCGATGAACCCACTTCGGGTCTTGACTCTACCACCGCCCAACGCATTGTAGCTACCTTGAAAGGACTCGCACGCGGTGGTCGGACTGTTCTAACAACAATTCATCAGCCTTCGAGCAGGCTGTATCGGATGTTTGATAAGGTAGTTGTTTTATCCGATGGATGCCCCATTTACAGCGGATACGCTAGTCGAGTCATGGAGTATTTCGGGTCAATTGGTTACGTGCCCGGGTTCAATTTCATGAATCCTGCTGATTTTCTGCTTGACCTTGCTAATGGTAAGTCTTATTTATCTTATTTAAATGATAATTATTATAATACATTTACTTTAATGTTATTTTCTTTGAAAAGATTTCAAAAAGAAACTATTTTAACTAATATTTTTTATTTAGTTATTTATTTATTTTGTTATAAAAGTGTTACTTGATAGCTAATACACAAAATATCCCACATTTATAGATTTCGCCCTCACATTTATAGATTTCAAGGAGAGTTGATCGTATTCATTCTTTTATCTGAAGGAGATTGTTCGTGTTCTTTATTTCTGGTATTGCCAAAAAGCAAACTTGATTTAAATAGCGTTTAATTGAAAGAAGTAACTGTACATGTAAAGTGTCATAAAAAAAACATGGGATATGATAAGGACTAAATGTAGGAACAGATATAGTTGTTGTTGGTATGAGCTGTACATCAGCAATTTTGTGTTCTGATGTCTGGACAGTTAGTTAATTAAGACCTAAAATCACAGATATGTATGCCATGAAGCTTACGATTTTTACCAGCGTCAACCTTACAAGTAGCCGACAACTCCCCATTAAAACTTTTGCCATTTATGTCACATAGCAGAAGAAGAAAAATAAAGAAAAGCTTTCAATACCAAGAACAAGTTATATAAGTAGATTTGTTTTTTCAAATTGAATTATGATAAAGATAGTTTAACTAACTGTCACCAACCGCCATTAATTTTATGTTTTTGTCTTTCATTTGAAATAACACGAGCCTAGTCTTGCTTCCAGTTATCATCGAAACTTGTTGTATTAATGTTAGCTCAAAGGATTAGTGAAAATGGAAAATGTTAGAGCTAAAAACATTTTGCAGATGTATAACTTTTCAACTTTGGGTGGCAAGCGTATCTTTTGTCGTATATAAATCTTGTATCTTTTCCAGCAATCCCGTTTCTCTTTTCAAATGATAGCGATTATCACTTTTTATTAGTTAATTGTATCTTATTAGTAATTCTTGGTGAGTAAAGTTCAAAATCTTTTGGATTTGCAGGTATAGTTCCTGACACGAAACAAGGTGATCAATTAATGGAGAGTCATAACAGATTAGACCATCTTGATGAACAAAATTCAGTAAAGCAATCTTTAATATCATCTTACAAGAAGAACTTGTATCCTGCATTGAAAGCTGACATTCATCAAAACTTTCAAGATTCTTCATCAGGACCTTCATCACTTGTAAAATGTAAGCAAAAACCTCTCCCCTACTATACCATATATATACATGGTCCAGATTTAGTCCTGAAGAATGTCCAATTTACAAAGGCCAAACCTGTCTGGCCCACAATTTTCAATATAAATTGAGGCCTGAGGCAAGACCTGTGAACTCTTCACCTAAACTCATAATATTCCTGGAGATGACTCCAGTAGCATGAGCCAAACTCATTAGTTATATTATATTATTTTCATTGTTGTTATTAGTGCTGCAATAATTTTAAAGAACCTGTAATCACCATTTGCAAGTGTTTTGCAGATTCTGCGGATCAATGGACAACAACCTGGTGGCAGCAATTCCAAGTATTACTAAGAAGAGGTTTGCGAGAAAGAAAACATGAATCATATTCAGGCTTAAGGATTTTCCAAGTGCTGTCAGTTTCAGTTCTTTCAGGGCTTTTATGGTGGCATTCTGATACTTCACATATACAAGATCAGGTATGATAATCTTTACCCTGCATGCAATACTGATAGTATTACAAGTTAAAACAGCAGTAAGAAGTCATTATTATTTTGATGATTTTTTTTTTTTAAACAGGTGGGGCTTCTCTTCTTTTTCTCAATCTTCTGGGGATTTTTCCCTCTGTTTAATGCTATATTCACATTCCCTCAAGAGCGACCAATGCTTATAAAAGAGCGTTCCTCAGGCATGTATCGCCTTTCCTCATACTATTTGGCGCGAATAGCCGGTGACTTGCCAATGGAGCTTGTTCTACCCACAATATTTGTTACCATATCATACTGGATGGGTGGTCTAAAACCTTCCTTGGTAACATTTATACTAACCCTTTTGATCATCCTCTTTAATGTGCTAGTATCACAAGGACTAGGTCTAGCCCTCGGAGCAATTTTAATGGAAGTAAAACAAGCAACAACCTTAGCTTCAGTTACAATGCTTGTTTTCTTACTAGCAGGTGGATACTACATTCAGCATATCCCACAATTTATCGCTTGGCTGAAATACATTTCTTTTAGTCACTATTGTTACAAGCTGCTCGTAGGAGTACAATATTCAGTGAATGAAGTTTATGAGTGTGAAAAGGGAATCCATTGCAGAGTAATGGATTTTCCTGCAATAAAGTATCTGGGTGTTGATAATATGTGGGGAGATGTTGCTGCTTTGTCTATAATGTTGGTGGGTTACAGGATTTTGGCTTATCTGGCTTTGAAAATGGGGCAACCTCACTGAAACTGACCCATTTGACTGCAAGTGAGTGAAGTTGAGTAATTATAGTAATTAATTAACTGTTTTATGTATTCATTTTGAGTAATTACAGGAATCAAGGAAATTATTCTCCAATTAGTAGGTTCAGGTTCAACTCTTGTTTTGGGAAGAAATCTTGAAGACTATAACTAGCTTGCTTCAGTGTAAATTGGAGTTCATGTCACTGTCAAAATTTGCTGTCCAATTAATATTAATTAATTAAGCTTGTAACCAGGTATAATGCACTAATTATGATTTATGAGAATTTCCCTTTTGTAATTAAGTTTGTGTAATAATATACAAAAAAAATTAAATTCTACAATGGAAATTTTGGCTTACTGAATTAAATTTGTCAACATTGCCGTAGCAATTATTTCCAGAACGAAAATTGACATAATAATGTTTTCAAAGAAATATTACATCATCACTGATTCACTGTCTATGCTCGCAACCCATCAAAGGCCCTCCCCTTGCCAGCTAAACGAGCCCATCCCATCTATTCTTCATTAAGATGCTGCCACGTGTACTAGCGTAGTGATGTTGTCTTCTCCATGGTTTCACCCATAAGATGTTTGATCAATTGTCTTAGAGAGCTGGAGCATATCCAGGTGGTATATTTGGAAGAAAAATACTGAAAGAGACACACAGTCTAATTTATGGAGGTGTTATAATCAATTTTCATTTCCAATTAGTAAAATTAGATTTGATTAAATGCTTATTTATTACAAGTTTGAGATGCCCTAAAGAATTAGGATAAATTTATGCATTCTGCTTAATTAACTATATGTAAATTTGTCTGTTTTTTCTGTTTTATTGTTGAAGAACATAAAAGATTCTATTCTACTAGGGAAAGGGTCCCCATTCCCTTGGTCAGTTTCTGTCAATTGAGGATTCTACTATTTTCTTAATCTGGTCCACTACTTTACATTCATAGTGATTCAGATTCCTAAAATATTTTTGATATGTTTATAAAATAAATTATGCAATTTTCAGAAAAAAATTTCATTTTTTTTATCTGTAAACCAAAATTTATTTGTGAGTTCTCGCTTACAATAATAAGGTGCATTGGAAACATTTTTGTCATTTATGATCGATTTTTAAAAATTTGCAATTGTCATATGTGTAAAAACTTTCGAACCATAACCAAATTCAATCATTTCTCGACAAGCTAATAGAGTGGGTCATTCATTAATAAGAATCATCTATTTTTATACGAGTACAGCAGTTTGATATATTTATCCAGAAAATTTTACAGAGAATCCAATTCCATTGCTGATGTATTAGCTATTCATCAGGCTTTATATGGGAATACAGATCTTCAGATATGATAGGGACCTTTTAGCATTAAAGTTGTGTAAAGTTAGTTTGGATTTATTATCCTGCTTTTGATATAGAAAAGGAAAGATTTTTTTTTTTTGGGTGATCAAATATTATTTTTAAGATGAAGTTTTTATGAAATTTCCCAAGTATAATTATTAAAACACACAATTTATTGATGTATATATGTTGTTAAAATTAAAAGGGAAACAAAATGGCTTATACTGGACATTGATTTCTCGAAATTTTATTGAGCTGAGTATTTTTGTGGATTTAACTCAAATTGAATAAATTTAAAATTTTAACTCGAATTAAATTGAATCTGTTTAATTTAAGTTCGTTTGGTTTAAACTTTTTATTTATTCCTTAAGATTTATATAAATCAAACGAATTCAGTTCAGTCGATTTTTTTAAATAGTGCCAATAATAGTTATTTAGCGAGTTGTTAATTAATTTAATCAGTTCGGATCTGGTAAAAACAAATTAAAATCATATAAAAAACTTTAAAATGAAGTTCGGTTATTTTTAATGGTGAAATTAAAATGAAAAATACATTTTAAAATCAAATCAAATTTAACCGAACCAATTATTTTATCAATTTCTAATTTAACCACTCTAACTAACCGATCTGGTCTATTTTACAGAACCACTAACAATAATATCTACCAAGAATCCAATAATGTGACTTAAAAATATATATGCCAATAGCATCAGATGCAGCATCTCTAACCTGAGAAGAGCCCTCAACTAAGTTATATTCTATTCCCTCAACGATCTGTCTATTCACCCATTTGATGTTATTATTACTGATTCCAATTCCATGTCACAATTTACTTCATCAATACCTATCTATATATATATATATATATATGGCTGTCTATGGAATTATGCAATTCGAGTCCAGCTGAAACCTAAACGCAGCTTATTATATTTAAAGCTCTGTTTTAGGGTATAAAAGAAATGGCATCACTCAAGGCTGAAAAACCAGCTACTGGTTCTCAACCAGCTGCACTCAAGAAAGAGCCAGCCAAATCTAGCAGTGCACCCAAAGCTCCAGCCTCCAAAACTAGTAGCGCACCGAAAACAAGTAGTGCACCCAAAGCTGAGCAGAAACCCCGGGAGCCTAGGAAGAAGGTATAGATATATTTACTAGAGAAAATATTTCATATTGTAAAAGGATATATTTAAAATAATTCACTATTCTTTTTTATTTTCCTCATCTGAAAAATTTAGTGTCAGTTTGATAAATTGTTATTTTTAATAATAATTTTTTTATTATTTAATTTACTCAATTTTTGGTAATTTACCAGGCAACCGGAAGGCCAGCAACAAAATGAGGAGATGAATGTGAAGAAACCATGAATTAGTTGTTTTAATTCGTGGTAGTTAATTCATATCTATAATATGGATTTCAATATATACATCTGCTCGTTTGCTACTTACATGCAGTGTTCTCCTTTTATAGGCTTTGCCTAATAAATAAAATGCGTACTTAAATTTGTGTTATTGCTTAATTAGTTATTTTATTTGTGGTGAAATTTTTCATTGTAAAACGAACCAATGGAAATTAAGCATATAAAGAAAATTATCATGAATTCCGATTCTTAATGTATTATTAATTAATTAAATTAAAATTTTTAAATAGTATTAATTAAGAAAGTTATTAATTAACAATTGCAATTCTTGACCCATTGATGCACACACACATGTATTATACTATTAAATAGTATATATGTATATATTGTTAAAATATAAAATTTTTATTTCTATTGAACTTTAATTATATTTCATTTTTTTATATATTCTAATATAAACAAATTAAATATTGAATATAAATTTAATAAAAATATCAAATATTATAGAATAATATTTTAAATGAAAAGTTATCATTGAATTTGCCGGATTCTTAATGTATTATTAATTAATTAAAATTAAAGAATTTTTTAAACTAGTATTATTTAAGAAACGTTATTATAACAACTTGCAATTGCTTGAACGCGCCATTGATGCCCACAGACACATGCCTATTCTAGTACCTTTATTGAAATAGTATATGTATATGTATATATTGGTATGACAAACTCATAAAATTTTTTATTGTCTATTGAACTTTAATTATATTGTCCATTCATTTTTTTCTCATATACGGTTCTAAGCATATTCAAAATCAAATTAAATATTGAATATAAATTTAAATAAAATATCAAATATTATAGGAATAATATTTTGAAAGATTATATAGAATGTTAAATAATTTTTACTTTTCTAGATATTTCAGTTTCAGTATTTTAATTATAATTATCATATAAATATTGCAATTATATTATTATACATTGACTGGATTTTTTGCACAAAAACAAAAAAAAAAAGATTGAAGTAAAATTTAACTTATTGAAATATTAATGATTTTTTAAAAAAAAAAAAAAAGATTAAGTAAATTAATAACTTATTGAAATATTACAAGAAAATCATATTGATTATATATTATTTTTTCAAAAATCTAAATTTCTATTTATTTAATTATTTAATTATATATATAAGTCAAAATAAAAAAAATATTGTTTTTAGAAAATAGCTAACGTGTGATCATTTAAATTCAGAATCAAAATTCCAACTATAAATATTAGGAAAATAGCGTTATCAAATCACGCAGCTGCGCGGTGAGCACAAAGCCAACTATTCTTTGGCCTTTTACTAAAGAATACCCGCAGACAGCGGCAAACGCCTATTTTTGGAGGGTTCCTTCCTTTGGGAAGTGGGCTCACAACAATTCTAGTTTAAATTTTTTGCAGTTTTTCTTGGAGGGTGTCCCAAAGCAATTTTAAGTTTTTAATATAGTTTTAGTGTATTCCTAGAATGTTTAATTTTAATTGCTGATTTCGTTATTTTTTTTTCATGTAGACTTAATTAATCTAATAAAATAATTATTAATAGATTTTTTAATTAATATATAATTTAATTAATACTTATTCATATAATACAAAAAGTATACATTATTAAATATTTCAGATTTCATTGATATACTTTTTCATCTATGTTAAAAAAGTAGTTTAATCAATTTTTTTTATCATTTTTTTTCTAATTCACTCTTAATATATCATTTATTTCTCCTCTAATATCAATACATGTCTTAAATTATGTTTCAATCTTCAGAAAGGTTTTAAATGCTGTTGGAATGAATGGAATACAAACAGCTGCAAAAATGAAGTTTATGCTCTAACATTTAGAGAGAAATTCATTTTTTGTCCTTTATTTAGCTGTTGCAAAAATGAAGTTTAAATGCTACATGTCTTAAATTATGTTTCAATCTTCAGAAAGGTTTTAAATGCTGTTGGAATGAATGGAATACAAACAGCTGCAAAAATGAAGTTTATGCTCTAACATTTAGAGAGAAATTCATTTTTTGTCCTTTATTTAGAAAAGTTACGTGAGAATATGAAAATTTGTGTTCATTTAATATTTCAACTGCCTTTGATTATTGAAAACGTACTTTAAATATTGTACAATTTTTTAAATTTTCGGCAAAGTCCATAAAAATTCATTTCAATGTGGCTAATTTGAAAATTTTGTGGCATTTTTCTATTCAAATTTCATTTTAATCGGTGCTAATATAACCTATATAAGCACATTTTTTTACAATATTGATGTAAAAAATTCATTTACCAAAATTTATTCACATTAAATGGTCAACTATACTTTTATTTGCCATTATCTTAAGAATCTAGATAGAATTTTAACATCGGCATGGTTCCCAAAGTTACCAAATTAAGCAGAATTTTCTATATAAAAAGATCATTCAAAATAAAAAATTTTTCCTATATAAAAAGAATGGAGGGACTATTAAATAAAGATTCTATTTTGTTCCACTTTAAGTTCTCATTTAGAATTTTAAGAATACATTAATTATTTTTTCTTTTCAATTTGCACCATATTTATTAGATGTTTTATAATAAAAATAAATGAAGCTCATTTATAATTTTGAGAATACATTAATTATTTTCAATTTGAGCCATATTTATTAGATCTTTGATAACAAAAATAAATGACGAGCTTTTAATTTTAAGGACAATTTACACATTTTACCATATATTTATGAAAAATCAATGTGTTTCAATATTTTTTTAATCCTTATAAAAGATCAAATGTTACTATTAAAGTGGAACTGAGGAAGTAATAATTTTACATTTTAATACCCACTGCTATTAAAATTTGTTGCTGTTAAAAATTTTCAAATACTAATATTCATCAATTAACTATAAATCACCAGCTATCAAAAACCACTGTCAATTATCAACTAACTATATATCATCAGTTATAATACTCGCTATCAATTATCGATTAATATGAACAGCAAAATCAAACGCGCCTCAGAAATTATATGCTTAAAAATATTATATAATAATAAAAATATTTCATATGCTTAATTAAAATGATAAAATACATGTAGAACTACAATTATAATCAATAAAAATAGTTTCAAGTATTCCCATGATGGAAAAGATAACGCAGGCGGAGAAGGCCGACATGCCCAACTTATTCTGATCCAATGGGCCCCATAAGAGCATATTACGAGTAATATTATCTTCCCTGATGTTGCTGTTGTGTCGTTTTACTTGAGTTTATTTTATTAATCATTTTTTTTTTCCTGAAACTTCAAATATATATATATATACTTGAGTTTTTATTTTATTAATCATTCCTTTTTTCTTTCTGAAACTTCAAATATAATAATAATATTATATATATATATATATATATATATATATTCAATAAAAATTTGTGATGTGATGTGTTAAAATATCACTGAATTTGATTAGGTGTGACTGTAAATTTTATGTCTGATCTATATAAATATTTATAAAAATATTTATAATACTTAAGATTTTATTATTAATAAATTATATTTCTAAAAAAAAAATTGTGATGTGACGATATTTTGTTTAATAACTACAGTATTATTGTATGATTTTCAGTCAAATTTCCTGTTGAGGAAGCAATTAATGTCGCAAGAATGGAAGCTGCTCCCCATAGCAGAATTAGGGGTGGCCAGTGGCCTCCACCTCCTTAATTTTACAATATTTCTAAAATTTTCCATATAAAATATAAAAAATTTTACATTTCACTCATAAAACATAAAACAGTGAATTTTTTTTTTTATTTACCACCGCTAAATTTAAAAAAAAAAAATTTCACCCTTAAATATTTTCCTTTTGTCCCGTAACTAGTTGCTCATATATCTAGTTACTCGTATATTAAGTTATAGTTTTAAATGCTTGTCAAATTCTGTTATTGGGTGCACAAAGTTCCATAGTTGCAGAGACTTTATCCTTTAGAGAAGCTCTCAACCGGGTGAAGTCTTCTTTGACTGTCTAAAATTTTATTTGAAACAATCAGTGGATAGCGTTAGCTCACTTGCTAGCCATCAATTCTTATTTTGTGACTAGTTTAAAGAAACGGGTCATGTCCGTCCTGATTTTATTTTCATACTTCGTATGTTAATATTGATTTTTTATAACAGTTTTATTTTTCCTAAAAAAACATTAAGCGATTGTGTTTCAAACTTTTTATATTTTAATAATTGTTTTTGAAAAAAAAAATATAAAGTGAATTTCATAACTTTATCTCTCATTCGTATTAGAAAATGACATTATTAATTATAATATATATTATGCCAACTCCAATAGCATGAACTTCTTGCCAACTGAAGCATCACTCTCCATCCTTCATAATTAAGTAAAAATCATAATTTATATAATTAAAGAAGTAAAAATCATAATTATATAATATATATAGTATATATATTTATATATATATATATATATATATATATATATTATATATAAATACAGTGGTGCCTAATATATTTTTGAATTATATAAAAAATTTATATCTATACAGTGGTGCCTAATATATTTTGAATTATATAAAAAATTTATAATCTAAACTATTTTTAATGTTATATTTGTTAATCTTTTTTAAAAATTGGGTAAGAATTTAAAGAATTTTTGTTGGCAATTCGTGATAGAATAACCCGTGGACTTTAAGAAAAATATTCCAATCATCAATCAATAAAAAAATATTACTCTTGAAATACATTTTACTATAATAGATTACCGGAGAAGCTAAGGTTTAAGTACAAGAGACACAAACTTTTAAAAAGATAAATCAAGGAAGGCAGAGTGTTAAAGTAAATGGAAAGTAAATGTAGATTCTAAAAGCAAATTTCTCTTATATTTTTTCTCCAAGAGAAGACAGGCAATTTTTATTTTCCAAAAAGAAGAAAAAACAACGATCCATTTTGTTCTTGTTTGTATAGCTTCATGTTGTAAATTATATTTATATTTAAAATGTATTTAATTATATTTAATTATATCTTATCGAGATTTATTAAGGAATGACTGATTCATGAATTTATTAATTTGATGAATTTAACAAGATTCATTCTATTAAATTCATATTAAATTTAATTTAATACGTTCCTATACAAATAACTAATTTGAGAGGAATTTTATGGGAGAAATTTCAAAATGAGGCCTTCTTCTAACATGAAAATATTCCTCAAAATTGATATAAGACCAATAATATGATTGATGGTTGCTAAGAAAGCATCTAATGCCATTATCCTCCAAATCAGTTATTCCATCATCTTCACCTTCCACCATCCTCTTATCATCTTCTCTCTTTTACAATTTTATTCCAATTCCTTTATCACATTTAACTAACTCTATACTCTTTAAATGTATATATACACCTTGTTTGCAATGGTGCATATATAGCATAAGCCAACAATTAATTAAGATACAAACCCATTTCCCTTTGTTTTCCAATGGCATCATTGAAGGCTGAGAAATCTGTTGGCACTCAACTTTTTGGGCAGGCCAAGAGCCAACCTGCAGCCAAAGCTAGCGATGGTGCCTCCAAATCTTCAGGTTCCAAGTCATCTGCCCCCAAGAAGGCTGCACCAAAAGAATCCAAGAAGAAGGTAATTCCAATAAGTATCAATGTATTAGTAGTCGATTATCTGTCTTATAATACCGAGAATCAAGAATTTTAATTTATTAATGTATATATATAGCATAACAAGATTTTTTGGGACTTGTCTCTATATATAATGTGCAAATAGTAATTTGATTGTATACAAATATATAAATTGTTTGTGATGATGATAATCATCTGGTTAATCATGTTTTTGAATGAATTTCAATTTTGTGTAGGGAAAAGGTGGCAAATCAGGGAAGAACTGATTAAGTAACAGAGACTTGCAGATGATGTGTGAAAAGAAAATTATATATGAAGTTAAATTGAAAACAAGAATTATTAATTAGTTGTTTTGTGTTTTTTTTTTTTTTTTTTTGGAGTTTTGAAGATTTGAAAACAAGAATTATTAATTAGTTGTTTTGTGTTTTTTTTTTTTTTTTTTGGTTCAGTTCAAATATGTGTTAACCAACCATGACCCTTGGGTGACTGGTGTGATGTGGAAATGCACAGTTACAGGCTTCTTTTGATCTTGCAATAAATAAATAAAAAAATATTGTTTTATTTTCAAACTTATTCAATACAGAAAGTTAATATGTCCATTGTTAGCAATCACATGGATCTCAAATCTTCTAATTTTGTTGTTTCAAAAAAAAAAAAAAAAATCTCTTCTATTTTGTGGACTCGTGGAAACTCTTTGAAAAGAAAAAAAAAAAAAAAAAATCTTCTATTTTGTGACTGTGGAAACTCTTGAAAAGGAGAATTATAAATTCAACATTTATACTCGTTTAATACTATAAATGAGTTTCAAATATAAAATTTATTTAGAAATAAACTCTAGACAGACTTCATTTGTAAATTAATTTTTCACATTTGGAATATATTTAAAGTTGAAAATTCATTTGTTTTTTTTCCTAAATTATTTTTGGCATAATAATTTTTAGACAATCAGGAGAATATATAATTTTATCATAAAATTTTATTTGTTTGAATTTATGGAATTCATTTCAAAATTCTATCTTTTATTTTTATAGAATTTAATTTAGTTATATTTAAATTTATAAAATTGAATTGTAAAATTTTTTTAGTTGGAAGGAGGGTTTAGGCCTGTAAACAATAGCACGGGCCAAATTGCCCCATCTCGATCAGGCAGATGCCCGCAATAGCAATAGGCTCCTGCAAGATCCTTAGCCCCCAAGACTCAGCTCCTGTAGTAGATGCTAAATACATACCAATTACAAATGCAAATACAAAAATTTGGATTGATAAAGTAAATTCTATATTTTTGTGAAATTCATTTATTCTAAACAAGTGCTAAATCCCTAAATTACGCATATCAATACATAACCTAGTGGTAAGTGTATATATCATGTTCCAATCCATGTCTCCTAAAACTCAAAAAAATCCATCAATTACATAATTAATAATTAAATGATTTGTTTCATAAAATACTACCAAGTGATAGGATCAACCCGTGACCAACTCCATCCCAAATAAACTTCAAATATGAAAAAATTTAGCAATTACCAAACTAGAATTGAGAATTAATTGAACTTATTTCTTTTTAATCTAAAATCAATAAGATTAGGAAAAAAATTGAAGAATATTAATACAAATAAAATCGCCAAAAGGGAGATTTAAAAAAAAATTCTAAGTACTTTTTACGCCGGAAATTTTTGAAAAAGAATAGGAAGGTGAAGGATACAAATTGTTATACCCTCCCTTTATGATTTTATTTGATTTAACTTACAGGATAGGCTTAATGTTTTAGCAATTACAAGCCCATAATGCCATTTGGTTCTCCTTCTTGCGCTCAGAAATGAAGCTATCAGTTCAATGAAGCTTGCGGAAACACCCCAGATATGGTTTTTCTTTTGATCCATTGCTCATCTATTACCCATTGGTAAACAATGAGAAACAAGCAAACCAAAACATGGAAATGCTAGCTATCCACTGACACAGCTTCTGATACAAACTCAGATTAAGATGGCACAATCTTTCAACTCCAACATGCATGATTCTGATTTTCCATTTTAACAAAAATAAATAGTACAATCCTCACCCAACCAAGAACCGACCCTGAGATGCGGATTTCCTAACAGGAACGCTATTTGATTGAATTATCCACTGAAAAACAAGCACTATATAAATTAAAGGACAAAAAAGGAGATGAAAAATATGAGAGTGAAGCCGGTGGAGGGAGCCACAAAGATACGAGCGAGAATTTAGAGGACATTATGGAGGTTTTGCAGCGAAGGCAACGGTGCAGTGATGACGGTGGCGGCGGCGGGGTTGAAAGTAACGCTAGTAAATGAGTTGTCACTGCGTCTGATCATACATAAAGAACATTTCTGGAACCGTGATCATGCACATATAAAGAACATTTCTTGCAAGATCATATTAAAAAGCAAAAGTATAAAAAAAAGTAAAATTAAAATTATTATATAAAATTTTACATGATATTTCATATCACCATAAATTTATACGAAATATTTGTATGATTTCACATTGATAACAAAGCGCAGACGATTTGTCGTCTTCATTAACGAGCCAAACTATCAAAATAACAATGCACAACCTGTCATTCTTGTCTTCCCGATTACTGAATTAAGCAATCCACAGAAAAGCCCAAGCGCAAAAAAATTCTTCTGGTTCAAGTTCTTTTTATAGAAAAAATAAAAATGGAAGGGCTCATATCAAATCAAAGTACTTACTAGAGATGATAATAGAACTAAAATCCGTCAATTACTAATAAACATTATATAAAATATATAATTAAGGTCTACTCCTGGCCTGGAGGGCTGAAATAATAATTGCCGCCTTGGTACTGGGGCTCCGGCGGGCTGTAGTATTGAGAGGGTTGGGATTGGACCGATTGGTGTGCAGTTTCAACCTTGGTTACTGCTGTTGGAGGTGGCATTTGCACTGTCCCTTCAGAAGGAGGACCATATCCATGCGCTGAACCTGCATGGTCGTCTTCGCTATCGTGAACTCCTATTCTACTCTGTTCTCTCTTTGTGTTATTATTGCCTCCATATCCTTCTCCAGCCATACTATTATTACCTCCATATCCTTCTCCAGCTATACTATTATTACCTCCATATCCTTCTCCAGCTACACTATTATTACCTGCCCAATATAACACCATTTTAATTATAAAAAAGAAACAAACACACACACACACACACACACACACACACATATGGATACAGAGAAAGATTGGTAAATTCAAGAAGGAATACTTACTGTTTGGAGGATTAATATCCTGTAATAATTCTCTTGCAGCTAGACCCTGTGGAATGGTGTGCAAGAACACTGAAAGAAAGCAGCAAATGATTATTAGGAAGGAGAAAGTCCTATTGATTCTCATTGTGTATGCTTAATTTCTAGTTCTTGCAATCTGTTTGCCAAGGCTCATACATTACATCCGTAATGAAATATATTCTCATTGTGGTATGCTTAATTTCTAGTTCTTTGCAATCTGTTTGCCAAGGCTCTATACATTACATCCGTAATGAATATTATATATTATTATATATATATATATATATATATTATATATATAGTCTTGAAGGTAAATAATGACTGTCTTCTCATTAATTATTTTGATTCATAAATAATCAGTAATTTGCAAATGGATCCCACATTATGCATGCCAAGTCAAATCTCGTGCTCGTTGAAACTAATTGTTTTGTTAATTCAACAAGTTGAGAAGCAATTGAAATATCCATTCGAGTATGGGACCATCCATACACCGAGTGTAGAAGTAAGAAATTTCCTTTTTTAGAAGTAGAAATCATTATTGGGTATCCGTGAGAAATGGCGATAGTTAAGTGATGATTTGTGCATTGCCTCAAGTCATTATTTAGCAATCAATACCGTTGCCAATTAATCACGGCAACAACTATTCTAATGGAACAAATAAATTTATTTGGCATATTCAGATGCCAGAGGCAAAGGGCAAATGACAAGGACTTGACCTAAGTCAATACTAAACTTCCAATTTTTTTATCTTGTAATATCTTAGTTGATATGAGAATTTGCTGTTTATCTTGTCTAATAAAATTTAATATCTTATTTTGAATATGAATCTTTTTTATTATTAAATCAATTAATTAATTAGATAATTTCATATGATGCAGGAATTAGATATAATATTATATGCTTTTAAATTTTAAAAAAATTCGGTTGAAGGAATTACATAATTTAATAGAGGTGGCCGAAAAAGTATGTAGAGAAAGAAAAATATTACCATGGAAAATATTTAGAAAATAGTTTTTTTTTTTTTTTTTTTTTTTTTTTTTTTTTTTTTTTTTTTTTTTTTTTTTTTTTTTTTTTTTTGAGAATAAGGAAGGAAAAATATCGAGGAAGTAATAATGACAGCCATTTTATTTCGGGGCCAAGTGGTAAAACGAATTCGCTACAGTAATATATTGATGAGTAAGATATCGTTCCCACCGAGGATTGTAAACCAAGTACCAAAATTGTGTTATCTTGTTTATTATTTAAACGATAATTAGAGATTTGTTGTATAATGGTAAAATAAACAAGAGTCAAGTAAGCAAAAATTGATTAAAAGAAATGCAGAGTAAAGCTAGCTAGGGGTTTTGATTTCACTTAACTCCTATCAATTTATTTCATAAGTTTTCCAATTAATCAATTTAAATTATTCAAGTAGGGGAAACAACCCAAAAAATCACTAACTTAAGCTCTCCCGATGTATTGTTAGCTATTTTTAACGACCAAGGTCTATTACCTATCCTTCCCAATAGCGCAATCAACATGAATTAAATCATTAAGTTTTATGGTTTGTTCCTGTGAATTCCAATAACTCTAAGGTCTTTAACTTATGAAAACCCCCCATGAGTCAACCGTATAGCTTCCCAGGCCATCAAGTTATTATTCTCATGTGTTTTATTAACCTTTTCATATCAAAGATCCTTCTTCCGATAGTTGATAATTGAAATAAATCAATGTAGGGAAATTCTGCCTAAGAGGCATTAAGTTCATTAATAAAATCATAACTTGCTTGAATAAGGAAAAATAAATCTAATTGCATAAATTGGAAAAGAGATTAAGCTACATCAAACCCCTAGTATAAGAATTTAGTTACACATAGTACTTAAAGAAAACCCAATAATACTTGATAAATATTCCATAATCAATAAAGATAATGAAAGAAAATAAACAAGATTAAGAGTTAGAAATAAGAACTAGAGAGGTATTGCTTGGATGGCTTCCTTGAACTTTGCACAACTCTTGAGTACTTAACTTCAAAAGCAAAATAAAACTATGTACAAGACTAAGAGAATGAGAGAAAAATGGAGAGTGGAGTGTAATGTGTAATGTGATGGAATGGGGATGCCCTTTGAGTGGCTTCTTTGCTTCCTTATATAGACTACTTGGGGGAACAAGCCTTGTGCTTTGATGAGTGAAGTCCAACTTTGTGAGGTGGAAAAGTTTGTATTGCTCTCAATTATGGTGTCTCAAATGAAATTGCTCTTCCAATTAATGGTGTCTCAAATGCCACATATGGTTGAACTTTGACTGGCATGTGAAGAAAGGCATCCAAGCATCTTGTGAAAATGGAGAAATAGTTGGCAAACTTTTGACTCAAAGTATAAGAATTCTTGATCTGCACGGGCGGTGTTGCCTGGCACGTGCCTGGGGGCGTGGCCAGTCCCTTTTGGGAGGATTAGAGGCTCTGGCACGTTGGCCGTTGTCCGCAGGGCACTGGCCCTGGCAAGCCTAGCGCGCACGGGCGTGCTGTCCCTGGCCGTCGCAGTCTCCTGGGAAAAGGTCCTGGTTGATAGCCGTGCCACAACCGGGCGTGCGGGGTTAGCCGGCTGGGGCGTGCAAATCTCTCTAGAAGTGCAGAGGGCATATGAGGCACGGGGCGTGTTCCGCAGCACGCCTGGGGAAGGCTATCGGCGCACGGGCGTGTTTCCTCGGCGCACGGGGCCCGTGCATCTCTCTGTCTCTTGGTTTGTCTTGCCTTGTGCCAGACAACGGCCGTGCTTCGCGGACACGGCTGGGGCGTGCCCATTGGTACTTTGCTTTATTTTGTTCTTTTTTCTTTTGCAAAATCCTACATTTTCTTTCCAATCAAGTGAGTTTGTTGATTAAGGAAGCTTTTTGAATAAAAACATATCAATATTACATAAAACTAATTTAAATAAATTAAAAGTAATAGAAATTTAGAAATTTCAATCAAAATTACAATAAAAAATACTATAAAAATAACACTTATCAAAATTCCCCAAACTTAAACTATTGCTTGTCCTCAAGCAATAAAATTCTTCTGAAAGTAGCATGGAATAATTATTTGCGAATTTAATCAATAACTGAATTAATCATAAGAATAAATTATATATATACCCTATGTAAGTTATTTTTTAGCAAAAATTGATATAACATATTCTTTTTATTAAACATGAGTAAAGAATATTTTTGTCTCCTTTTTTTTTAAATATTAGTTACTTGGGACAAGTTTAGCCTATATGTAATATTTCTCATCTCAAGGCATTTTTAGGTAACCTACTTCTATTAAAGAAATTGGTTGCATTTTATGCTCCATACCACTTCTCATCTTTTTCTTTTCCTTCTTTTGTGGTTGCTTTTATGCTCCATACCACTTATATATTTTAATAGGAATATAAGTATAAGTAGTTGCCATTTTATGCTCTACTACTTTGTTTAAAATAAAACCTTCAATCCTTTATTGGATTTAAAAACATACATGTAATATGGCTTTAGTGTCCTTTTTCTCTTTATTCAAGTTTTAGATTCAAAATGCTCTAAACAAATGGTTAAGTCCAAGAAGTATGTTAAGACCAATTTTTGGTTTAAAATAATTTACTTTGGAAATACTATTAATTTATTCAAAAGTTTAACTAAGATAGATCATAAATTCATGCTAATAATTATTCCATACTTATTTTATAAAATTTTATAATTTAGATAAAACGTCCACCCCCTACTTAATTGAGCACATTGTCCGCAATGAGCAATTCCCCAAACTTATGGTAGTGCAAACTTATGGTAGTGCAAATAATAAGAAGTTGAGAAGTGTACCATTGTTGGGGCAAGAGAATGCAATGGAGCGTGGTAGATCATCCAAGCTAGGAGGTGAGAAACATAAAAAGAATAATAACCAAAATATGGAAAGGGGCAAACAAATAATTTATATATCCAAGGAAGCAACTGAAACTAATTAAAATCCAAAATGTGCACACCAAACCAATGTCAAATGTGTGATATTTAGAAGAAAGCAGAGAAATTTAACAAAGCAATGCAAAAGAAATCAGGCCTCTGGTGGTTGGAGGAAGGAGGAGGCTGCCAGCAACTGATAACAGTTTGAAGCTGAGTGGTGAGGCCACTGGTAAGTGACTTTCTGCAAGGTGTCCCTAAGCGAGAAGTCAATGCTGCCTGTGTGATCTCAAGGGACTGGACTCAAGGGACTGGAAGCGATCAGTAATCATGGACTCCATGCCGGTAAGTCGAGTATCAAACATGTCCATGCGAGAAAACATACGTGCAAAAAGCTCATCATTAGACACAGTGGAAGTGCCCTGGTATGAAGGTCCAGCTCCAGATGTACCTGCACCAGAAGGAAAACCAGGGAAAGGAGGTGGCTGATCCTCCTCAATGTCAGCAGCTGCAGGTATGTCCTCGTCAGTGGTTTCTGTTGGGGCACCAATTACTCTATATGTATCGCCAAATTTTTCCACAATCTTCAAGTGAATCATCATGTCAATGTCTAATCTAGTCCCTCGACCACCGCCTAAGCTATCATAAATTGGTCTGGCTGGATCCCATATCCTCAAATAGGTGGCAATGCGTGTAACAAAGCTACCCATCACAATGGCTCCCTTGTCAGTGTCAGCACGTGCCACTCCGAGCCCATTTTTGGCCATGCCAATAACCCAACATTTAACGACACTTCCATTTTTATAGCCCATAAAAAATAAAGTTCACTTACTGCGCCCTACAACTCCTTTCACTCTCATTTTCGGCCAAAAATAGTGTGCAACCAAAAACTTACTGATGTATCGTAAAAAGCGGGGCTTTTTAATTTTTGGATGCTTTGGATGATCTAAGCACTATAATACCTGCAAAACTTATGGATGTATCGTAAAGCGGGGCTTTTTAATTTTGATGCTTTGGATGATCTAGCACTATAAATACTGCTATCCGCTATCTCGCCCCACCTATGACGATCCATAAAATCATTCGGGACTTGGGTGACCGCATTTTCAGTAGGAAAACCAAAAATATGACTAACCTCATCGATAGATAATTCAAAATTTCGTCCGAGGAGTCTAAATGTGATTTTATTCCTAAAAATGTCAGTTGGAAATTTAATTGATGCAGAAAAGGAGCTTAGAAATTCTAATGTGAGGGGCGGATACACAAGGTCTTTCATT